GTCATCCAATGTATGTAAGTAAATGCTACAGGCAAAACAAGGCCAAGATACGAAATTAATTATTCTATTGGAACGCTAATCTCAAGGATCTGATACCATGCAAACCAAATGAAAGAAATTAAAATACTATGAATCTTCGATTCAAAATCGCAATTTAGAGGAAACGAAGATCAACCTAGAAGTTAGAGACGGTGCCGTAGTAGCCAATGATGGTCGCAGTGGAGAACGCTGCTCAGCAGCAATTGGAGGGTTGGAAGGGAAGCGTTTGCCACCGGCGTTGTTAGAGACTTAGAGTGAACTCAGAGAAGACTAAAAGATGAAACGGTGAGGGGGAAGTTCGAAACTTATAATAGTGGGAGCTGGAACGTCGTGAAGTTTGAAACTTTCAACTTATGGTTTGAGTTTTTTTTTTTATATATTTTTTTGCTTCATTTATTTTTATATTTTTTATATTTTATTTAAAAATCAGTGAGTATAAACTAAATGTGTATAAAAAAATTTAGGTTAAAAAAATTAAAATTAAGTCATTTTAAGAAATCATAAAAATGAAAATTAATTAAAACATGTAATTTTAGATTTTTTTAAAAATAATTTATATATCCTCAGTTTAATATATTTTTTGACATACTTTCAATTTAATTATTAAAAATATAATCAATTCAATCAATTCTTGTATTTTATAGGTATAATTCTATCTTTAAACTTATCTATTTTTAATTTTGGTTAAAAAATAATAGTTTTTTAATGAATATATTGTGTAATATGTTAAACAGAAATGTGTATCAATTATTGTCTTTTTTTTTACTTATTTTTACAAATATAGTTGATAAATATTTTTCCCATAATATTTTGTTAATAATAATTAAATTAAGAAATCAATTTAAACTCAAATTAATGGGAATATTTATGAATGAAAATTTTTAAACCATTTTAAATGTAATTTGAATGCGTTTTGAAATGGGAATCAATTTAGAACTAAATTTATGTAATGACATTAATTGGAAATCAAATCAAATCAATTTTGAGAATGTAATCAATCAATTTTAAGAATAAAATCAATATGAAATTAAATGACTACTTT